TGTTGTTGGCGCAGGTCCGACGAAGCACAAAATGGGAGGGGCTGCTCAGCTCTGTGGGCTAGGCGGTCAGCTGGCGTAGAGGCTGATTATTTGTAGGCGACGCTTGAAAGACGACAGCTGTGCAATGTTTTTTGCTTCTTGCTGTGCACCAAAATCAAGTTCGACACCAATATATATATATATATATATATATATATATTGGTCGGCTTTTCTTCTAGATGGTCTGGTTTCCTTTTGACTGAATCACAAAGATGGGGTCAAGTTTGACGCACATTCTCATTTGTCTCTCTAGAGCCCGACAACCATCGCGAATCAGTGACGAGCCACGGGCGTCTTTTGTTGGGTGGAAAAGATGGGCTGGAGCAGAAAGCAAGCAGGGTGCGCTCATGTGGATACAAGGGAATTTGGACCCCAAGATAGCGTTTAATCTGACCCCCGGTATGAGCGACACTATTCCCAGAAACATGCCGCATGCACTCCGGCACGTCGATATGTGAACCATTCTAAAGGAATCAGCGGAGAACTTGGGGTTACGTTCATCTTGTTGGTGCTCAGCAGGGAATGAGGGAATGAACCGTATAACCGACCCCTTGTGGCTTCCTTTAAGGGATTCCCCAGGTTGATTCCCTCGTTCCCTACTGAGCACCAGCAAGTCATTCGCAAGTTTAGGTTCAGGCGTTGGTGATCTTCCGCATTTGGAGGTCACCATGTTCTTTGCTGAGGGCTGCTCCGAAGGGGGAGAACGAGGTTGAGGACCCGCCGAACAAGAATAACGACGAGTACAAGGCTTCACCCAGCGTTTGGACGGAGCAAAGTTGGCTTGAAGCAGTCCCGGACCCGCAGCAAAGCCAAACGGAGATGGTTCAACTAACAGTATGCCAAACACGCAGAACAGCATTTATAAGGGTTTCTCAACACAAAGAAGCACAGACACGCATGTGTGTTTGTTGCGTTTCACCCCTTTGTCCAGCCAAAACCCCCACGAGTTATTGGACCGCGAGGCCCAGATGCAGGTCCTGCACCATGACCTCATGCTGGCCCACACCGCCCTCCAGAAGCAGCATGCCGCTCTGCGAGAGGCTTTCTCTTGGTGGGATAGGGAGTGAGGGAATGAAACCAGTCCCCTTAAAGGACATCACCAGTTGGAGGGGTTTATGGTTGAGAAATGCACCTGTTGGAATGGATGACATGCTATGAAGAATGGGATAAACCACGAACTGACGCCGAATTGTGTCCATTGTCAGCCCTTGATAGTGACGAAGTAGCCATTGGAAATAACGCATTTCGGTATCACAGCCAGGCATATTTTGCACAAACGTGCTGCAAGAAGATTGGAACAGACGGTGTGCCCCAAAACGTGCGACCCCTGCAAGTGGTTGGTTTGCTCTGAGTCCCCCCTTAAAAGCCGGTGAAACAAATCCGCATACGAGCAACTGGCAGGATGGATTGACAGTGCGCCAAAAAATATGGAGGAGATGAACAACCAAAATTCCTGTGTCTTCTTGGGAAAGGCTTGACGATTTGGTCGCGCGGCTGTCCGCGGCTTTTTTTGGGTCGTGTCCGTCGCCCAAACCGAAAAAGGCAAAGGCCTGGCCTGTCTGAGGGGTCCTGCGAGGCTTTTTTCCTTCAAATGGGACCCTCTGGTGGGCTCCATGTTGGTGGGCTTTTGTCGTTCCGTTTTGGAACTATCCCAAAAGAGCCACACAAGGGGTCACGATTTTCTGAGCAGCTTACGCTAGGTTTGGGATCCTTTCCGAGCCGCTTTATGCTCCAGAAGTAGACGGCCAAGCCACATTTGGGGGCCTTTTTGGAAAGTGTGGTTGCATATTGGTGCAATTGAGTCCATCTGTTCACTGGAGGGGCCTTTGCGATGTTTCTGGGATAAGGGCAGGCGCGAGTTCGGGTATCGCAAGCCTGGGCCCTAGTGCTAGCACAGACCTGTCGTGAACGCTTCTTTTAAAAACGCAATCAGACAACGCCTCAGCTGTGCACTTGCCTTTCTCAGTTCAAGAGATTTGGCCGTTGCCGAACCCGAAATAGCAATGCGGCTGATATTTGAAGCCGCTGACCCGAAGTCGTGGCATGTTCGCACGAAAAAGGCGGGAGCTTCACGACCAGATGGTCCCATTGCATTCGGCGGACTCCAAATTGAACCTGGTTTCGGGTTCAGGGAGGTGAAACAAGCCGCGACATTCCTTTCAAGGGAGCGGGCTGGTGAGCCTTTCATGTGCTCACAGACTCTTTGTAGGAATCCACAAGGGTCTTTTGATTTGTATGGCTTCCAGAATCATGACCCTCTCCTGGATTCCAAGAACTTTAATGGGGAACCCCTTCAAACGTGGTTGGTGGCCATAAATACTCACCGAAATGATGTCCACCAAAGGTCCCACAACTCCAGATCCCGAGCTCAGGCCGATCTCATGGCTGCCCACGCGCAGCTTCTGAAAGCTATCCAGGACGGTGCCATCGGCGGGGGTGGCGGCGGAGGCGGTGGTGGTGGTGGTGCCAAGAAGCAAAGGCGCCTCGGTGAGTCAGTTGGAATGGATGAAATCCTATGAACTATGAACACTGGGACAAACCACCTACCAACTGGTTCATCATTTCGTCCATCCACAGTATGTGAGGGAATTCAACCAGTGGGCGAAAAACGCGACCCATCTCTTCCTGTCCCCTTTTCGACCGTTTGACCCTGCCAAGTGGGTTCAAGATCAGCCACCAGCGGTCGCAGCCTCTGGCTAACATGTGCAGTGCATTGTTTCTACATGCAGAAGCTAGAGCAAGCTCCCCGCTACCATGGTAGAGATGGGCAGGTGAGGGTGAGTTAGCTCACTTTGCCAATTGTCGGGTGTTCTTGTACCTTCTACAGAGGTGCTTTGGCCTCGTTTCTCTTTTCACAGGTCAACTGAAGGGGCACTTGGACGCTTTGAGCTGCAACTCTTCGATGGAAAGATCAGCAAACGGGTTGGTCCTTTTTGAAGGTTTGGTTTTTCTTGCAATGGGCATGTTTGTTTAGAATCCGAAGCTCGTTTCAGGGGAGTTTCTCCCAAATCCATCAGATACCAGTGGGCCCGCCTGAAGCCCGAAGCACTTGGTGCCGCGCATTGGGGAAAAGAGGCCCTGTGTGAATCCCCCTCGAAGTGATAAAGTAGTCTAAACGGGTCCCAACATGGAGCCTCTGGAGATGAAATCAGGGGAATCCTGAGTGATGTTAAGATCCCGGTCCGGCTTGCCAATAAATAGACAGATAGATAGAGATATGTGACAAGATAGGAAGCAAGATAGATGGTGTGAGTCACGTGTCTCTCAGGCACCCGGCCCTGGGCGTGGTGCGCCTGGACTATGACTACCCCGCCGCCCCAGGGGACTCAGATCACCCAGGCGAATTGGCCCCCCCTGCGCTCCCCCCCCCCCCCCCCGAATGGCATGGGTCCGTCCAGGGGTGGGGGGGGGGCCCATGGACCAATGGTATGACCATTGGGGGGGGGGGCAAGGAAGACTGGAACATATGCACTATTGATGTTGAAGCATCACTCGTTTTCCCATGGACTTGTTTCAGGGAAGTCAAACGACACGGTTCAAAAACATATCGCAGCTTTTGGGAAATGTAAATGAGTTGATGTGTAATTAAAACAATTTGAGTCTGAGCATCACTTGCAATTTTTTGGACTCGTTTGACGGCAATTGAGCGGAGTTGATGCTTAAGCCAACTCGGCAATTGCATGTTCTTGTTGGAGGTCAAGTTGAATGAATTGATATTTAGTCAACCGCGGGGATGCCACGGGATGTGAGGCGATTATCACGACTTAAGTCGGTTTTGTAGAGCCTCACATGCCCACTTGGATCATATAGGTTTTGAGGGCACGGTTCAGGTGCAACTAGTCGCAAGCTATTGGAGCCGATTTGTTTGGAACCGTATGTAAATAGTCGAGGTTTTGAGGCAACGCTTTGATATTCGCTTTGAATGACAGTGGACAGGCTGGCAGATCCTGCCTCTCAGCACGCAAAGGAAGCCCACTGTGTTGAGCATTCCACATTTCTTGCCAATTTGGTGTGCTTTTTCAGTGGACGCCACTGCTGCAGCTTTCACATGGTGACGAAAGGACCCCGTGTGGGCAACATGTAACGGCAGGTGTCACCAGTCCAGATGGACAGGGCCGTAGTCGGACCCCTTGCCGGCCTCTGTTTGTGAGAGACATTCGTTTCGGAAAAATGCCTTGGCTTCCTGGAATCTCACGGCAGGAAGCTTTGGCTATGACGTCTTCTACCGCTGCGTGCCTGGCTTGACCTTTGAAATGTGCCAGGCAAGCGATCGATCACGTGAGGAACGGTCAACAATTCCCTGCGTAAGGATGAGCCAAACTTGTTTGCACTTCACATGTCGACATAAAACGCCTGTCTTTCAGGGATGAGGCGAGCAGGACATGGATCGCCATCTTACCACAACTCAACGATCGAATGAGCCATTTGGGGGAGGTGTCCACGCACCAGCGGGTAGTGACTGACAAGTCTCAGTAGCACAACGTCTTGCCATGTGGCATGCTGCAGCTAGAGTCATTGCAAGCCCCCCATTGGGACTTAAGCCCACAAAGAACGCCGCGGGTTAATTCTCAATTCAGTCCAGCACACCGCCCGCCAAAAAGCGCCAAGAGGTTTTAGCTTCTTTCCAAGCAAAAAGGGAGCTGATCTCAGCCGTCCCAAAGGGGCGATCCGGCCTCGAACTCCGCAGTCTGGGAAGTTCACGGAGGAGGTGGAGCGCCGCTTCGCGGATGCCATCAAACACTTGGAGGCGGTTTGTCGAATCCTGGACTTTCTACTTTTTGGGGAGGCCAGAGCGGTAAACAGAAAGCATTCCGTCTTTTTTTTGGCCCATCTCGGGAAGTGAGACCGGATTGCTCTAAACCAGGCGAGGGTGCCATGGGAACCATGGGAACGGTTGATGCAATTCCGCTGTTCCTTCCGCTTTCGGAGGGGGCGCGATCTGGTCCAATGGAATCTGTCGGCACACCCATTGGCGCTGGTCCCAGTTGAACACAGTTTCGGTGGCCACTTGTGGGGGAGGATCTATCTGGTACGGCATGGTTGGCCTTTGTAGACCATAGATTGGCACAGGCGGGACCAGCTGCACATGGCCGAGAAGCAACGCCATTTTACTTTTAGGTGGGGAAAAGAAAGGTGTGGAACAAAAACCTAGGGGCCCAGGGGGACAAAAATAATTGTTGCTGGAAGGGTCCAACCCCATTTGACATATTCAAAGGCACAGCCCCGGAGCCTCCCAAGCTCGGAGCTCAGGCTCCCTTGGGCTGAAATTTGCCGACTTTCGAGCAGCGAGGGATCGAGCGAGGGATTCCTGGTGTACTTTCCGACCCTTGTAGCGCACTCGGAGATGTCCTCAACAATTGGGTCATTTGGAAAGGACTAGTTTTTGGGTACTGAGGCCCCCACTTGCTCTATTTCTGCAACGGACAGACGGCATCTGACCAACATTCCAGCGGCTGGCTGAAAAGTGAGCAGGAGCGAGTTCCAAGTTCCTCTTCGTGTTTTGCAACTCGCAGCTGTGGGACCATTCCACAAGATGAATCCGCTTGGGCGAGTCATTCCTGCCTCTGTGCGCCAGCAGAATCCCATGGTCCCCATGCTCTTGAGAAGTTGAGGGATCCGAACAGGATCCATAGACGCTTGCTGGCCATGGACTTCCGAAAGCCATTCCCCTCGGGCCATGTGAGAATTTACCTGTTCCCTGTAGCGCTCCCCATACGAGTGCCGCATTAAAAGCGAGAGCTCGTTGAAGAGTTTTTGCGAGAGGCCCGCGGAGTGTCCGCAATCACCGGAGACTGCGGCTTCATGATGTCCTTCCAAGTCCTTGCGAGGACTGAATGGGGGGGGCAGAGGAACGGGGAGACGGAGGAGCGAGCGGATGCGGGAATGGGGGTCTCGAAAAGTTGGCCCTTCATTTGAGTCTGACAATGATCTATAGCCCCGACATCACCAGTCCGGTGCCGATTTCATGCCAAGCCCGACTTGAGTTTTTGAAAGTGATTTGTCAAAGGGTTCGCTGGTTTAGTTTCGTGTTTGTTTTTTGTGGCCGAAACGTTGGCAGACGTTCGCAGAGTGTTCTACTTTAGCATGCGGGCCGCCATGCGGGCGGACCTAAGGCATCATCAAATGCGTGGGATCCTTGAAGAACCCACTAAAAATCATTTCGGTGTTAAGACAAAGCTAGGTTGAGCGCAACTCCATCTCCTGACTTGTCCCATAGACCAGTCTATCAGTGCATACAACCTGCTATTCAGCAAAGTCGTGTGAAGCCTGTGGTCTGATTGTTTTCGGTGGGCCTGGAGAAATGACGCTTGATGCATGCCTTTTTGCAACCCTTCATTAGACGTGCGAATGCAACATTCACCAGATTTCGGGAGATGCAAAGGCGGAGGCTTGTGGTGCGTTCACTGAGTTAGGGCTTCCAAGCCGTGACATTGCCAATTTAGTTCCCCCTGAAGTGTTTGTGCAAGGACAGCATTGGAGGCAGTTGCCACAGCCAGCAAATGCCGGAGAGAGTAGAGATAAGTGGGGGAGCTTTGTGTTTTTCTTCTCCGAATTTCTGTTTGACTGACGCCCCGTTTGCGGTTGTTTTGAATGGAACTACAGGGAAACCAGCCAGTTAGGAGGTTGCCTCAACTACAGACAAACTCACAGAGCACGTCACTTCTCGGTGTTTCCAACAAGCTTCACAGCGCAGCCGCCACAGAGATCCATCAGCTTAACCAGGAGTGTAACAGTGTGCCCATAGGGCAAGCTTGTGCTACATACGTTGTCATTCCTTGGGCTCGAGCATGGGTGACATACTTGAAAGGACTGTACGTTGTGCGGGGCGGAAGGTAACGGGGCTGTGCCATGCAGGGAGAGCTCTCCGAATTCCCGAACCAACCCAAAGACAGTACCTCAAATCAACATCCCCACCAGCCCAAAGACAGTACCTCAAAAAAGCAACCACTGGACCGGTACCTCACCCAAAATGAACAAGTCATCCGCGAGGAAGATTGCCAGCAAGCCAACCTTCATGTCCTCCATGGTGCAGTGCCCCATCATCGCCGCCTCTTTGGACGACGGAGACCACATCCTGATCCTCACCGCCAACGACCTCTCACTGAAGCCTCAGAAGGATTCTCGGGAAGCGGCCGAAAAGAAACGTTCAACCAGCTACTGATGGCTTCGAAATCCAATTCGCACCACGAAATGAGTTACCATGGTTGAAACTGTGGGTATTAACAGGGAAATTCTCGTTCCAGGGTTTCTGAGGTGGTGCAGGATTTCGTCCATCCACAGTCGGGCTCCAACCAAAAGGGGTTCACTATTTTCAGATTGGGCAATCTTTGGGCCAAGAGTTGTTGGTTTGCGACCTCACCCATGACGACGGTGTATTTGTGTGATTCCCAATGTTTCAGGTTGGTTTTTCCCTTCATGCTGAAGCTAAAGCCTTGCCAGGCATTGCCGCCATTTCGAGGG